TGGAGTGTAGGATGGGTGAGTGAGGCGAGTGGGTGAAGTTTTGGAGTATGGGGAGTGGGATGAGTGGGATTGATGTGTAGGATGGGTGGTGTGAATGGATGGGGTGTGGTGGATGGGGAGGTGAGGATGGGTGGGTGTGGGAGATGGGTGGGTGTAAGATGGGTGGGTTGGGTGTGGGTGGGTGGATTGGGTGTAGGATGGGTGAGTGTGATGGTGGGAGATGGTGGGTGTAAGATGGGTGGGTTGGTGGGTGGGGGTGTAGGATGGGTGGGTGTGGGATGGGTGGGTGTAGGATGGGTGGATGGGTGGGTGTGAGATGGGTGGGTGGATGGGTGTGGTGGTGGTGTGGGATGGTGGTGGATGGGTGGGTGTAAGATGGGTGGGTGGGTGGGTGTAGGATGGTGAGTGTAGGATGGGTGGTAAGATGGGTGAGTGTAGGATGGGTGGGTGGGTGGGTGTAGGATGGGTGGAGGTGGGGAGGGTGGGTGTGGTGGTGGGTGGGTGTGTGTAGGATGGGTGGGTGGGTGGGAGTGGATGTTGGTGGGTGTAGGATGGGTGGGTGTGTAGGAGTGGGTGGGTGGGTGGGTGTGGGATGGGTTGGTGGGTGGAGGGTGGTGTAGGATGGGTGTAGGATGGTGGGTGGGTGAGTAGGATGGGTGGGTGGCTGGTGTAGGTGGGTGGGTGAGTGTAGGATGGGTGGGTGGGTGGGTGTATAGGATAGGTGGGTGTACGATGGGTGAGTTATTCGAAAAGTTTAATATGTCGTCATAACGCATTATTGTAAAATAATTCTTCTCAAACCTCAATTTTCGCCTACGTCAGCCACAGATATATTCACTGCTCTTGTCATCACCGGAACTCATTATGTATCTACCTTTGTTTACCTTGACACCTGGTTTTCTTTTGATGTGTTATTTTGCCGCCAGGGTTCGTATCCATAATGTCTCAGGTGTTTTTTCTTTCTTTCCTGTCAATCAACAACTGGCGACGTTAGATATGGACACTTTAAGTCACAACATAAAAATGGTAGAGAAAATTGCACTAATATTATGCTGTACCTCTACCATAAAATATGATCGGATTTATCAGTTACGGGTAAAGTTATACAGAAAAGAATGTGTGAGACCCCTGCTAACCCAGACCTTTGCTTACACTGACGTGAGGGAGGAGGCATGTGGCTGCGTGTTGACATGGGTGTTGGTTCACATCCCTGGCGGGTTATGGCCTATAAATATAACGGGGGAACCTCAGGTCTTGACACTGATGTCTTACAAACCCTGAGTTAAAAAAAAAGTCCCACAATATTCTACATATTATTTCTTTTTATAAGAAATACTATGATTATAGTTAACAGTACAAATGAATAACAATTTAACAAACACTGACTTGCGTGAATTTTAAAATAATTAATAGGAGAAAAAATAGATCTGTGCCACATACACTTCTGTAAAGAGAGAAAAGTGGAGGAGAGGAGTTAGGGGGGATAGGGAGGACAAAGGAGGTATGTAGTATGTACTGATCATGTGGTAAAAAACTCATCTGTCACGGTCACTGCTTAGTTGATTGATTGATATATTTACCCTAGATAGCTCTTATCACCCATGGCAAACAACCCCTCAGAGGGGAGCCAGACTGAGGGGTCGTAGATAAGAGTGGGCAATTTTGACAGTAGTGAAGCGACTAATGTTCCTTTCCTTTCTGTGTGTACAGTACGTGACACAAACTAGGAGCACTGTAGTGTTCCTGCTTACAATCTTTGTGCCTGTACCCTAACCTGTATTTGTTCCCTGTACCTGTATTTGTACCTACACTACTATTTCTGAATACGATGAAATTCCTAGGGGTGTGGGCTAGCATCTGGTGCGTAAAGGCTGTGAGGCCGTTTAAAGACGGTCGCCGCCAGAGCTCCCAACCCCTCGAGGTTTGTTTACAGTGTGGGTGAGGCGGCTATCACCTCCCGGGTCCTGATGACAGTCATAGGGGGAGGGTGGTGATGTATACTGTGTTGGGTGGTGATGTATACTGTGTTGGGTGGTGATGGTATACTGTGTTGGGTGGTGATGGTATACTGTGTTGGGTGGTGATGTATACTGTGTTGGGCGGTGATGGTATACTGTGTTGGGTGGTGATGTATACTGTGTTGGGTGGTGATGTATACTGTGTTGGGTGGTGATGTATACTGTGTTTAGGTGGTGATGCATACTGTGTTGGGTGGTGATGTATAGTGTGTTGGGTGGTGACTGTGTTGGTGGTGATGCATACTGTGTTGGGTGCATGCATACTGTGTTGGGTGGGTGATGCATACTGTGTTGGTGGTGATGCATACCGTGCTACCGTTGCGGTGATGGTGATACTGTGCTGTGATGCGTATACTGTGCTGTGGTGATGCATACTGTTGGGTGGTGATGAACTGTGCTGGGTGGTGATGTATATGTATACTGTGCTGGGGTGATGCATACTGTGTTGGGTGGTGATGATGTATACTGTGTTGGGTGGTGATGCATACTGTGTTGGGTGGTGATGTATGTGCATACTGTGCTGGGGTGGTGATGTATACTGTGCTGGGTGGTGATGCATACTGGGTGGTGATGCATACTGTGGGTGGTGATGTATACTGTGTTGGGTGTTGGGTGGTGATGTATACTGTGTTGGGTGGTGTTGGGTGGGTGATGCATCGTGTTGGGGTGGTGATGGTATACTGTGTTGGGTGGTGATGCATACTGTGTTGGGTGTATACTAAAGGTGATGCATACTGTGTTGCGGTGATGTATACCGTACTGTGTGATGGGTTGGTGATGATACCGTATACTGTGTTGGGTGGTGATGGCATACTGTGTTGCGTGTGATGTGCGGTGACGATGTGTTGGGTGGTTGGGTGGTGATGCATACTGTGTTGGGGTGATGTATACTGTGTTGGGTGGTGATGGCACGTTGGGTGGTGATGTATACTGTGTTGGGTGTGATGTGCTGGGTGGTGATGCTGTGTTGGGTGGTGATGCATACTGTGTTGGTGGTGACGTATACTGTGTTGGGTGGTGACTGTGACGGTGTGCTGGGTGGGTAGATGCTGTATACTGTGTTGGGTGGTGATGATACTGTTGGGTGGTGACGATACTGTGTTGGGTGGTGATGTATACTGTGTTGGGTGGCACGACTGTGTTGCACTGTGTTGCGGTGATGTATACCGTGTTGGGTGGTGATGCATACTGTGCTGGGTGGTGATGTATACCGTTGCGGTGACGATACTGTGTTGCGTGATGTGACACTGGTGCTGGGTGGTGACGGTGGTGACGTGCACGATGTACGATACTGTGTTGCGGTGATGGCTACGTGTTGGGTGGTGATATAAATGTGCGGTGATGCGTGTGATGTACTGTTGTGGTGATATACTGTGTGTTGGGTGGTGATGCATACTGTGCACAGTTGCGTGGGTGATGTATAATACTGTGTTGCGTGGTGATGGTATACTGTGTTGGGTGGTGATGCTGTGTTGCAGGATGTATACTGTGTTGCGGTGTGTATATGATGCACCGTGTTGGGTGGTGATGTATACCAAAGTTGCGGTTGGGTGGCAGATGATGTATACTGTGTGCTGGGTGGTGATGTATACTGCTGGGTGGTGATGATACTGTGTTGGGGGTGATGTACATTTAAAGGTGGTGATGTATACTGTGTTGTGGTGATGTATACTGTTGCGGTGATGCATACTGTGTTGGGTGGTGATGATGCACGCGTGTGGTGATATCAGGTGGGTGATGTGCATACTGTGTTGGGTGGTGATGTATACCGTGTTGGGTGGTATGCTGCTGGGTGATGGTATGGTGCTGCGGTGATGCATACTGTGTTGGGTGGTGATGTATACTGTGTTGGGTGGTGATGGTATACTGTGTTGGGTGGTGTGTATAATTATATGGCGATTGTGTTGGTGGTGATGGTATACTGATGGTTGTGTTGTGGTGATGCATACTGTGTTGGGTGGTGACACTGTGTTGGGTGGTGATGTATACTGTGTTGGGTGGTGATGTATACTGTGTTGGGTGGTGATGGTATACTGTGTTGGGTGGTGGTGTATATTGTGTTGGGTGGTGATGTATACTGTGTTGTGTGGTGATGCATACTGTGTTGTGGTTGGGTGTATACTGTGTTGCAGTGGTGATGTATACTGTGTTGTGGTGGGATGTATACTGTGTTGTGGTGGTGATGTATACAGTGAAGGGATTGTAAGTGTAGCTGCTGCTCCACTTTGAATTAAAGCCGCCGATGTTATATAGGTAATGATCAACAACCGTCAGTTATTGGAATGCTGAGAAAAAATTTTGAGCAGGTTGAATATTATGTTAGTTTAGGGATGGGTGGAAAGATATCTGATGGCGAGTTTAATATGTAGTGAGTGAAGTGTGAAAAGTGAGGGTGGGTCCCATAAGCCTGGCAACCCATTATGGGCAGAGTGAATACAAGACTAAACCAGTGGTACAAAAGGAGTGTGGGGCCAGCAATACACTCCACCACCTTCTATTTCCCCATCTGTATAATTAGATACGTATTCTATTTGTGGATTGACTGGGGTGCCCCTAATCAATGGCTGGACATGTACTTGAATCAGTGACCATTTTGTCAGAAGAGTGCTACAATCACGTGGCTGTCAAATGAAGTGTAGGAGTTGGGGCTTTTACTGTGTAGGGGTAGTGAAGTATACTGCATACAGGGTTGTGATGTATATTGTGTAAAGGTGAAGCATAGTGTATAGTAGTGAATTATACTGAGTAAGGGTGATGCAGTAAACTGTGTTGGGGTGAACTATACCATGAAGGGCTGGGAAGATATACTCTATAAGAATGAGGAGATATACTGTAAAGATCTGATGATCTTTACTATGTAGTTATGATGAAGTATACCAGGCAGGAATGGTGAGGAATACAGTAATGTGTTGTTGACAGTGAGGCTATACACATGTGCTACTATAACATATACTATCCAGCAACAAATAATCTTCTCCTTACCTGCTGTTTTCTAAGTTCGCTGTGTCTGAGGTCCTCAAGTGAACAGCGTGTAGGTGTCCTGAGGCCCTCCCTGCTGATCCCAATACCTGCCAGCCCCATTCCAGGCGTCCATGAACCTGTCATTGAGGTCGACCCCACACCCGACCCACTGGACGGTGTTCGCCGATGACCAGACAGACGGGATAAGGGTGTGGGAGGCAGGGTTGTGGCTGGTAGCGTTGATGTGTGGGTGGTCAGTGAAGGGGAAACAGTTGCTGTTGGTGGTACAGAAGCTGAAGGTGTTGACGGAACTGACAGTGGAGGTGGCAAGTCGTTGGAGAAGGCAGTGGGTGTATGAGGAGCATGATTCAAGGGGGCATGGTTAGTGCTAGCTGAGACTGGTGGGGGTGGCAGAGACCGATACATGATGTTGTGGACGGAAGTCATCCCAGACGATGACATCACTGTGGACACACCACCAAAGCCAGTAGAGCAAGAGGCTCCTGAGCTCCCAGGACTCCAGCGAGTGGAAGTGACAGGAACACGAGGAGCCAGCGGGGGTGGAGGCTGTCAATACCAAACAAATTATTTAAATAAGAAGGATCATTTAATTCTCACCAGCATGGACAATGCTTGCTAACAAGACATATCATAACAAGGAACATTCTGATGGTATACAGGGTATCTGAATACTCTCCCCACCAACTACACAGAGTACACTAATTTTCCAAAAAAGTCAACTGGAGTATGAAATAACTGAAGCAAATATGTTTTAATGTGAATGGTGCATATTCCATTATACAGTACAGTATTTATGACCTATTTCCAAAAATATATGTATTTCCAATCAGTCTAGGTGCTTCAGCAGACTTCCCATTAGAAAGACTGCTGAGAACTTGTGAAGTTCAACCTTACCAGTTAAATCACCAGGTAAAACCTAGTACTGCAGTTTACTATTACAGTATATATGGAGGATATTTCCAAGAAGCCTAACAAGGGGTAAAATGACAAAAACATGAAACCATATTCATACGTGCCAGTACAGGAAGAAGACATGTGTCACTTGTGTTAGAGTATATCAGTACTGTAAGTGTTGGAAGATCTTGACCATGGGGAAATTATGCTGACATAATTTTTAAGAGAAGATTATCAAACACATTGTTACAAACAGAAGAGATGAAGCATATGGTGGGAACATCATGGAAAAAAACACGTCATTAAAGACAGATGGAGCCATAGTAATTCTGAACACTTGGACATAATTCAAAAGCTTTGGGTCTGTAGGTGGGTTTTTCACTTAAATGAAATGAATCAGCAGTAAAATAGAAAAATATATAAGATGTAAAATGTCATTACAGTGAGATGTAAACTTAAACTGTTTACTGTAATGTTGCAAAAGAAAGATCAGATTCAGGTGGAATAAGAAACAAAAATATTCATAAAGTTGGATTTCTAGAAAAACTTATTTTTTCTTAGGCCTCATAATGTATATCTTACTTCAGCACTCACTCACCAAGTCATTCTTGGTGTAGATGTATTCTCCAAAGTAGCGAGGTCTGGTCCTCCCAGCAGTGCCATTGAGAGGAGGTGAGGTGGAGTAGGGCCTCAGTGATGCTTCCGACCGTGGAGGAACCTGTCAAAGAAAATTCCATTTGGTTTCACTAAATTGGAAACAATAGTTCAGGTACATATTGTACAGGAGTACATAAAAGGTACTGAGATTTCAAGATGCAAATAGTTCACAGATTCACCCATGATCAATGTACATTATTATGTTACATCAATGTGTATAAAAAGTCATCATCATTATCATTTTAAGGCCATTTTCCACACGGTTGCCTGATGGCAACTCTCCATGCTGCACGATCTTTTGCAGTCTCTCTTGTCAGTTCATAAATTCTAAAGTCATTTCATCCAAACTCTCCCCATGTAAACCACATATCAATATATTTTACTGATACCAAATTTATATAACAAACATTTGTCACACTTTTCTTTAACTATGCAATATTAGAATATTTTAAATTTTCAAGTCTCATAAACTAAGCTTATGATAGTGGTAATCTAACATATCAAGAAAAACTTGTACTAAAACTCACAAAAGTGACCTCCATGAAAAGAAAGAGAGAGAGAGAGAGAGAGATGTTACAGTCAAGCAAGCAACTATTTTATTTTAATTCCCTAACTGTGTCTATGTAAGTAAGGAACAGATCACTGATCTGCACAGGTAAGGTAAATAAACCATGCGTGGGTAAGGAACATAGCATTCAATTGGATCATATAAAAAGTATTAAACTGATAAAGAAAAAGGTGTTCAACTGGGTATGGAAAGAGCCAATATACTGGGTATGAAAAAGGCACAAATCTAAAGAGTCTTATCTGAAGCTTATCAATGACTCTTCACTCCACCAGGGAGCTCACCTGAGTGGGTGGCCATGACCATCCCAATATGCCACCTTTTCCCCCTTATTCCCCTAACTTCCTCCACTTTCTCTCCTTAACATACTGTTCCATCTTTTCCTACCTACCAAAATGTAGGCAGTGTCTCTACATGTTCTATCTGCTATATTGTCCTTAAACTCCCTCTGTACAACCTTATTCACCTGTATCCTTCTCACATGACCACACTGTCTTAGAAATCCCCTCTTCATCCATTCCACTAACCCACACTGATTAATGCAATGGCAAACTCGCCAAAACCAAGTTTTGAGAAAATGAGGTTTAAAGTTTGCACATATTCAAAACATCACAGAACCTCCAAAAATTCATCAATTTTGTTCAATGAGGTCTCATTTTAAAGGTGATTTAATGCAGAATATGATCTTTGTAATAAATGAAGATGTATGATTTTGGTGCACATTGATGTAAATTAATGAAATGGTATGAAATTAAAATTCATGAAAATAATTAAATAATACAGTTCTGGAAACAAACCAATAAATTTATACTGTATTGTATTAAAATAGAAAACATAACAATAAATAAAAGTAACACACTCTGGATCAGTGGTTCCCAAACTTTTTAACAAGACGCCCCTTTTGCTTTTTGCGAAGTCCTCTCCCCACCCCCCCTTATATTTTTGTATGTAAAAACTACATAGATTTAATTTTTTATTATAATTATATTTTAGTATTGTTAAGGATCAGATAATTCCTTGCATAGTGAACATGGATGAAAACAAATAAAACATAAATAATACCAGTATAAAAGACTTTAATTATATACTTCAATAAACATTTTCTCTTACAGGAACCAAAGAGAAATTAAACTAAAGCCCCAAAAGGACACTTTTGGGGCTTTAGTAAACCCACTGAAGCAGAAACTTGTATTGTTCTCCGAGCTGGATAAAAGCTATCAAGACATAGCCCATAATATTTGGGGATATCATAATACACTTCCATTTTGGCAGATGGCTTCACGCCTCCCCCGTACCCACCTCACAACCCCCAAGGGGGGTGCGCCCCCCAGTTTGGGAACCACTGCTCTAGATGATGATTATGCTCTGCTAAAAAAATTGGTAGCAGGGGCAGGGCAGGGTAGGTGGCTAGCAGTCTTAGTAGTCTATATGATCATCATCAGATACATCTTCCTCCTCTGGGGTGCCAAAAATAAAATGTAACGGGCTTCTCATTGGTCAGCACGCTCTTTTCCGACATGCTGATTAGCTCAGGGAGTATAGCAGGCTGTGATTGGTTACAAGGGCACTGGTAGTAGGCAGCTACCAAACAGGGAGGTACTACCGCCTGTGAAGATATTGGAAGCATAATGTGTTGTCTAATGGTAGACCCTGCTGCCATATGGCATCATGAAAATTTTGACCAAGTCCCAGGTTGCTAATCTGACTTTCTGCCTCATTTACACACAATTGCAGGGTCTCAATTGTTTCTCTTACTATTGACAACACAACCTACATATATTGTTTCTCACTTTTGATCTTTTCTTTTTTTCATTTTTGTATTTCTTTATGATTCTTTATTATTATTACTGTATTATTATTTTATTTTCAATTTTGTTTTTATTTTATTATAAATTTCATTTACTATGAATAATTATTAATATTAATATCAATATTATTATTATTTTTTTTATTATTATTATTATTACATTTTTGCCCCCCAGGCCCCGATGTGGGTCAGTCACCTGTGCCTGGGTGGGCTAATCCCCGTAAAAAAAAAAAACTCACCAGACAGTAAAATTACCACAGGCAGCACAGAGATGCCAGTAAACCAAAGGTGAACTAGACATACCATCTTGTGTCATGGTAGAACGAAACTTTCTGTGAATGATTGGTACAAAAATTGCATTTTCACTCGGGTGGCGAGTTCATCCTTGCACTAATCAATGCTTCAATTTACATCCTCTGTCTTTCCTGCTTCTCCAAACACGCCCATAAACTTCATTTGATTTTTACTCTTTTCTATTCTGGTATACTGTAATATCAAATGCAACCTCTTGATTACTCATTTATGTAGTCTTAATTTTTAGAATATTATACTCCATTCAATTTTTCACTGCCATAAGTTAGGTAGGAATTATGCTAATTCTGATTAACTTCTTTACCTCCAAGGTAAAATTCTTTCCTCCTCAGTGCTGTTCTCTCCATAATTTCAATCTCCATCATACTATTCCTACTTAACAGTTAACATCAATACCATAATATACAGTTTTATACATGTATTTCTAATTTAAGAGACTTTTCAATTCTATATGGTTTCCCAATATCGATTATGACACTTAAATTCCTCTAATTTTTCTTAACATTTACCTTCAATTTCCTTCTATCAAACACCAGTCAAAATTATTCACGACCTTTTGCACTTCCTGTTCACTCCCCACAAAAAACACAGCATGTGCTACCTCACCCTCCTGATCCAGGTTTGCTCCTGCCCGTCAACTTTGCCTTCACTTCCCTCACCACTCCACCTGAAATATCACAGGGAATTCACACATCCTTGTCTCACTCCTCCATTCACCTTAAAGCTCTCTATAACACTTCAACACCTCGCACAGGGCCTCTAGATCCACCCTAACACATGAGACCTGATCAATAAATGGTACATAGAGCTTCCTAGGCATATTTGGTCTCTATAACTCCTACCTCCTCTAAATCCTCTGATACCATTACAGTACAGGTATATTCTTTTTACTTCCCTTACCTTCTCAATTACAACTCAACCATATTATTTCCCAAATAAACTTGGGAAGGCAGATTCTCCTGTAATTTTTGCATAATTCCTTACTATCTTTCCCCTTTACATGGACATTATTATCATAGCTTTAGGTCACTCATATGGTACTCAAATATTTTTCACTAAACAAACACTTATTATGATGTTTATTTTTTTATCTCCTATATGTTCCATCATCCCAGACCTCTGACCATTCACTCCAGCAGCTTTCCCAAATTTTAATCTTCTTACCGCTGTTTTTATCTCCTCACTAGACTATCTTTTGTAGTCTCAGTTTCTCTTCTCCATTTCATTCCTTTTGTCATCATCATTAGTTAACATTAAATCTTTAAAATATTCCCCGACCTCTTCTTAACTCTTTCCATTATACAGTACTATTCTTCCCATTGTATCTTTCATTCTTCTATGGCTATTTTCTCTTCTCCTTGTACAGTATCTTTTATAGTTTTATGATAGAATTTTCTATTTCCTACAATATCACAACATAACATTTTACAACTTATTTCAATCTTTCTTTCCCTAGAATTTTGGACTTTTTTCTTCACCATTTTATTCTCAACTTTGTATTTCTATTTACTTCATTACCAATACTGTATTATGTAGCTGTTCATTATTCCGTAGAGTTTTGTCTCCATGTTTCTCCCTCCCTTGCCACTGTCTTGTTTTCATTTGTTTCATCATGCACCTCTCACATACTGTATTGTACTCTATTGTCTCATTTACAGTGTTAAGGAACAAGGTATAGATGGAATTGGATAAGAAACGAGACATTAAACTGGAAAATGAAAAAGGCAAGAAATTGGTTAAGGAACACTCCATTAAACTGGAAAGGAACAATACATGAAACTGTGTAAGGAACAAATTAGAAAAGCTACCCCAATGCATATAGTATATGGAACAATACTTGAATCACTAATTAATCAGTGTCACGAAACAAAGACCATCATGAGTACAGACCAGTGCAGGTTATCACCACAATAAGCCTCACGTACCTCTGGGGGGGTGTCGGAGTCACTGTCGCTGTTGGTGTGGTTCATGTTATTGATATTGTTGATGTTGTTACTGTTGTTGTTAATGTTGTGAGCTGGTCTGACGCCATCCTTCACAAACCATCTTGGACCCTCTGACGTCTGAGGAGAGTCCCGGCGGTGTGAGAGCAGTTCAAACCGTGATACCTGAAGACATGGGTTACACTCCTTTACTATTGCAAGCACTAATTTTCCTCTGTCTATACAACATGCTCTGGCTGCTTCAAACCATAATACAGTAGAACGTCAATTTAACGCAAATCTATTTAAAAACATTGATTTAAAGCGACACCACAATTAAGGACAATGTATCAATTCAAAGCAAATCTTTCCTATTTTACGCGAATCAAATCTGGCGCGTCATATGGAAACAACATTTTAAGTTTTGCGCCTAATGTTTCCCGCCAGACACCTCGCTAGGCAGCTACGAGGTTACCCACTCGGTTCTCGCGCGGAAGCTCTAGTGAATGGACATTCTGTGTGACACTATCTCCTTCTACCACGTGCATCAACCATCGCCACTATGTCCAAGAGGCCAGTCACTACATCATTAACTGGCCTATCTACGTCTGGGCAGACACTGCCGTCATCCAGTGCTTCCCGCGTGTCAGGTGCCTCCACAACCACACCACTAGACAGTGATGTGGATGATGAGCTGGTCGAGTTGGGCTCTGCATCTTCAGAGGATGACTTGCCTAACTAAAGGTGGGTGAAAATCTATTTTTGATAGATTAAAATAATGAAAAACTAAGCTGAGAGGAAAGTGAAACAGCAGGGGGAAGGCCAGTGACGAGAGGCAGCAGACAGTACAGTGCAGTACCACGCAGTAACAGTACCGTCCAGCTCTCAACTCGACTGCAGGGAGTACTTGCTGCATATATATATATATATCATTACGTCATATATTTTTCTCATATTTATTAGTTATAAAAGTCTTTTTAGTATTTTTTTGTTTCCCACAAGTACCCAACTAAATTATTCCATTGGAACAACACTTCAATTTAGTGTGAATTCGATTTAAAGCGACCTCTCTTGGAACGTATCTAGTGTTTAAAGCGACCTCTCTTGGAACGTATCTAGTGTCATATTGACGTTCTACTGTATTGTAATATAAGATACAGTATTCACTACCTATACAATGGTCTTTTATAACACATTATTGCTGTTAAATACTTTATAGTGTGCAGTATATGTTTTATTACACAACAGTTTTGGAATATGTTGTACTGTACCCGCTTGTATGCCTCACCTTATCGACAAATTCTTGACTGTCCCCATGCACAGGCGGGAGATGGAGGGGCATGGGTGGGGTCTTGCGGGGTGGTACGGGTGGCTTGGTCTCTCCTGATGCCCCCGCCGTTGACCCACTGGTGTTAGCGACAGCATCACCGGACATATGGAAGTACTCCGGGTTATCAACAGCTGCGGAGGGATAATATTATTTAATACTTGGTTTATTAATACCTGTTCTGTATAATAATATAGGCCAACACATTAATACATAAAAAAAACACCAACAAACATATGAGGAGCTCTGGACCATAATCTGCCTAGTGCCAAAATAGAAAATGGAGGAAAATCTCAGGAAGAAATGTGTGACACACAATAATCATTTCAGGGGACTCTCACCCACATGTACAGGTTCCCAATTGGCTCTCTGACTTACCCAGGGTACAGAGGAAAGACTGGGGAATACAATGTAATACACAACACGTTCAGCGACACATGGCTCCTAGCATGTTATACAGTAGTCCTCAACTCCTCATATATGTACTGTACTACCTTTATACACACAAAGTGAAATATTGATTCATTGATTGTAGTAATTACATCCCTGGTGACACAAGACCTTAGGTCATATGCCACCAAATTAAACTAAAAGCATAGAAGGCTAAACACAAATAATGCGAGGTAAAAAACAAAACATAAAAAATAGCATAAAACTTTCATTAAATCATTTAAATGTTGTGAGCCAATAACTCTACACACAAGGGTTTGAAAAACACCAGCTTTCACATTCAAAAATCCTTTTTGAATTGGTCTTTAACCCCAATCTGAATGCTGCTCGAGTGAGATGGGGCAACGCCGCTGTCGCGACTCCGGATCACCCCAGGGCCGTCTCATCAGCTTCAGGTGAGTCCACTTAATCAGGAAGAGACAGGGAGGTCTGCCTTTTTCTCACCTAAGAAGCCCTTTTGTATATATTGCAAGACCCCAGGGCATTTTGTCAGGGATTGTAGAAAATTAACCTTTAAAAGCCAGGGATTTTCTAGCTCTCCCTATTACAGTAGTGTGACCGAAGGTCCAGTGGTAGAGCGAATTACCCTTCAGAGTAAAAAAAAAAAAAAAAAAACTTAAGTCTAATACAATGGCATTAACTACTCCACCCTACCTTTCAACCATTTTGTTCATCTGGTTCCCTTTTTAAGAACACATCCTGCAAGCTTTCTTACACTATTAGTATTCTGAGGGATATGGGTGCTGCCCTGTCTCTTGTTCTAAAAGAGGCTGTGCCTTTGCTCCCTGATTGTTATACTGGGAGTTGGGGCCTAATGAGAGGTGAATTGGGGGAGGCTAGGATTCCCTTATGCAAGATGTACCTATGCTCTGCCTTGGCTGAGGGTTATTTGACATTAAAGTGTGGTAGATTCTCTACCAGCAGGTGGTGTTCCAGTACTTTTAGGTAACAACTTAGCCAGAGGGAGGATGTTACCTCACCCTGTGGTTTAATCCTGTCATACGGGTGATGATAACACAGCAGACCTAGACCGTGAAGCTCCAGGATTATTTCCAGCCCGTGCTATCACTCGTAGTACGAGTCGTAGAGTAAGTCACTTGTCATGAAGACCCTTCTGGTGGCAAACCACAAGTCTTTTCAGAGTAGTATCCCCTCAAATATCTTGTTTCAGATCACCAAGATAGTGCTACTTTTACCTCTAGTTTTCTAAGTGATTCTGGCTTTGATTCGCTGAGTTTACAGGAATCTCCCATTACCTGGGATAAACTCATTACTGAGCAGTACAGCATAAGGATTCAAAGTTAAATACGTTTTTGATCGTGTAGTAGACGAGTAAGAAGTAAGTAATTTATATACCAATTTTTACCTCCAGGAAGGAGTCCTTATGAGAAAATTTAGACCTGCTGTTCATGCCTGGCACGACACCCATCAAATAGTTGTTCCCAAGCCCTTGCACGATTTGGTGATCAGCATTGCTCATGATGGTGTGAGTGGTCATTTAGGTGTCAGGAACACTTATTCCAAAGTGTTATCTCATTTATTTTGGCCTAAGATTAGGATGGAAGAAAGAAAGAAAAAGAAAGAAAGAAAGAATGGAAAGAAGGAAGAGAGGAAGGAGATGCATTCTGTAAGTCTTGCCATGCATGTGAAGTGGGAGTGAAACCTGCCCACCATGTTAAACCTTTTCCCTTGTGCCCAATACCAGTTATTAGTGAACCTTTCCACCACATAGTCATAGACTGTGTTGGTTCCCTCCTAAGGATTTCTAAGGGGAACGAAGTACCTGCTTATCATAGTCAATAGAGCGACCCATTACCCAGAGGCCATTTCTCTGTGCAGCATCACTGTTAAGTTAGTCATGTAAACCCTAACCAGGTTTTTTCCTCAGGTCGGCCTGCCCTCTATGGTGCAGTCTGATCAAGGGTCAAACTTTACCTATGGACTCTTTAAGCAGGTGATGAACGTCTTTGGCGTGTCTCTGGCTAGATCCACAGCCTACCATCGTCAGTCACAAGGAGTCATAGAGCAATTCCATCAAACTCTGAAGCAAATGCTATGCCTATTCTACCTGGAGACTGGCAGGGACTGGGATAATGCAGCCCCTCTCTCAGTATTCTCACTGACTTCATTCCCTTCCAACTCATCTTTGGTCATGAAGTCAGGGGTCCCTTAAAGGTGTTGAAAAAGTGAGTCACCACCATGAACCTAATGACATCACAAACTATAAAAGAAGTAACCACGGCCACGAACATTTTGACATCAGCATCCTAAACATAATACAGTAAACACCATCACCAAGGAAATAATGACATCATCACCATGACAATAACGACAATTGTAACACAAATCATCATCTTCAAGACATAAGCACAGCATCAATTACGTTCCCGCCATAAAATAATTACAATTACAATTAATGATGTCATTACAATTACGTTGGCCAATGACATTCTTTGTTATTTTTTGTTTTTGTTTTTTCTAATAAGGAAGGTTCCTCAACAACTAAGACTGACATCATTAGCTTATACGAACGAGCCATTACGTCACTGCCAAAACATCAGCTCATCATGACGTCACTTCCATAAATTTCAATTATGACGTCATAGCTATATCATCATGCAAACCATGACGTCACTGTCCTAATCGGAGCTATGACATCAGTGATATAAGGACAAGCAATGGATGCGGGGTGTAAGCTGATGTGGGCGGGAGGAGAGAATGTGGCGATACGAGTAAGTGGGTGGTGGGTGGTTGGGAGAGTGTAGGTGGTTGGGAGGGTGTGGGTGGTTGGGAGGTGGGGTGTTGGGTGGGTGAGGGATGGAGAGGATGTTAGGGGCGTGGTTTAGGGGGGTGGGTTTAGGGGTGTGGAAATGGGTGAGGTGTGGGTGTAGAGGACAACGACACACCTCCCTGACCACAACCTTGACGCTGTTTATACTTGTCTGCCTCAGATAACACCACGAGTTATGGTCCAGCCTGCACCCCGCTCCTCCTCCCTCCTCCTCCTGTATGCACCGATCTCTTCCTCCTCCTCCTCCTCCTGCACCCCTCTGATCCATCCTCTCTCTCTCTCTCTCTCTCTCTCTCTCTCTTCTCACCTGCCTGCACATCACCCCCCAACACCCCGCTTCATTCTTGCTGTTTATCCCAAATTTGCTAGCCCACACTCATTAGTCTTCAATTAGAATATGACGTCCAATGTAGTGTGAACCTCTGTCCAGCATGACAGCGAACAGTGACATCACCCACATGAATCTGACCTATATATACTGTTAATGAATATGATGTATTTCATTGTGTATGAACCTCTGTCCTGCGTGGCAGTGAGAAATGATACCACCCTCAGTGTCAAGACCTGACTGAATTACTCAGAAACTGTACTCCAAGCTTTGTCAATAAATTTGTTAAACTAAAAAAATGCTCCTAACAACACCACTCCTTCTCCCACACACCTGCCTTAACATCACCACTCCTTCCTCTCCCACACACCCGCTCCTAACATCACCACTCCCTCCCACACCCGCCCCTAACGTCACCACTCCCTCCCTCCCACACCTGCCCTAACATCACCACTACCCTCCCACACCCGCCCTAACATCACCACTCCCTTCCTCCCACACCTGCCCTAACATCACCACTCCTTCCCTCCCACACCTGCCCTAACATCACCCTCCTTCCCTCCCACACCCCGCTCCTAACATCACCACTCCTTCCCTCCCACACCCGCTCCTAACATCACCACTCCTTCCCCTCCCACACTCGCTCCTAACATCACCAATCCTTCCCTCCCCACACCTGCCCTAACATCACCACTCCTCCTCCACACCTGCCCTAACATCACCACCTTCCCTCCCACACCCGCTCCTAACATCACCACCTTCCCTCCCACTGCTCCTAACATCACCATTCCTCCCACACACCCGCTCTTAACATCACCACCCTCCCTCCCACACCCACTCTTAACATCACCACTCCTTCCCTCCCACACCCGCTCCCAACATCACCACTCCCTCCCCACACCCGCCCCTAACATCACCACTCCCTCCCTCCCACACCTGCCCTAACATCACCACTCCTTCCCTCCCACACCTGCTCCTAACATCACCACTCCTACCTCCCACACCTGCTCCCAACATCACCACTCCTTCCCTCCCACACCCGCTCCCAACATCACCACTCCCTCCCACACCTGCCCTCCACCGTCACTCACACTCCTTCCCTCCCACACCTGCCCCAACATCACCACTCCTTCCTCCCACACCCGCCCTAACATCACCACTCCTTCCCTCCCCCACACCTGCTCCTAACATCACCACTCCTTCCTCCCACACTCTGCCCTACATCACCACCTTCCCTCCCACACCCGCCCTAACATCACCACCTTCCCTCCCCACACCCGCCCTAACATCACCACCTTCCCTCCCACACCCTCCCAACATCACCTCACTCCTCCCACACCCGCTCCTAACATCACCACCTTTCTCCCACACCTGCCCTAACATCACCACTCCTTCCTTCCCACACTCGCCCTAACATCACCAATCCTTCCCTCCCACACCTGCCCTAACATCACCACTCCTCCCTCCACCCGCTCCTAACATCACCACTCCTTCCCTCCACACCGCTCCCTAACATCCACCCTCCTTCCTCCACCGCTCTAACATCACCCTCCTCCTCCCACACC